AATGGTGAATTCACAATTTGACGTTTAAATAAAAATACCTAAAAAGGCGTATTTTTTAAACGACTTTTGGGTTAGTTTGTGTTAGTCAAAAAACCTGTAATGGGCCCGAGGACATTTTGGCACACAAGCCCGGAGCTGGGTTGATACGCCACTGGATTATATGATGTGTCATTTGTGTCATACTCCCCTAACTCCCCCACCAGCAAATTCTGGGATACTTCGAGGATCAAGAACACCTAATTTCTTCTGAGAGAACAGACCGAAAATCACCTTTTCTACATTTAAAATCGACGAAAAAATTAACACTAGCACAGCCTGAATCGCAAGCATTCCATCGAGGTCTGCGGGTGACGTCATCACTACAAGCGGCTGATAGTAGTGACATCACTCGCAGGCCCAGAATTTGATGTAGAGGAAGTTAGGGAAGTATGACACAGTTGACACATGACATAACCCAGCATAATCAGGTTATGCTTGATTATCCTCGCGAAAAATTGCCTAATAGCTAAAAAAGCCGCCTAAAGTCGACGCGTCCGCGGTTGCCGCATTATCGCGTCGAGTGCATCAGGGCTGGGATCACGACATTCTACTAGAATTTCTCTTTTATGACGTCAGGTTGCCTAATAATTGTCATCATCGCCTGTACTGTACGCGATAAATGTATCGCGAATGACGTCATGGAAGTGGAATTCTACTTGTCATGATTCCAGCCCTGGATTCCCTACAGGGCCTTTATTGTCGAAACAGGAGATAAGTGTTCTGTCTTAGTTGTCCATATTTCTATTTCCATAACACTGACAAAGACAGAGCAATCGTCCTTTCCCGTGAGAACGCTGTTCCCCGGTTTCAAGAATAGGCATCCTGGTATACAACGTTGCCGTCTCTTCCAAAATTTAATTTTCGTTTTTTTTTATATCTACGAGTTTATTTCTTTTTATTTGTTTTTATCGGTCCCTTTAGTCCCTTTAGAATCTGGTTGTGTGGGGGCCCCTCAGCTCTGGGGGCCCGACGTCGGACGCACAGTGCGTCGTTTGCTTCATACTAGATCCGCCACTGTTCCTGACTATTTGCAACCAATGAAATGCGCTCTGACTGGTTTCTGATTTCTGTGAAAACAGACCTAAAGTAATAGAGCATAGAACTGACCACGAATGACGAAAGGACAGAATATACTAATACCACTTGTATAATTCTTATACAAAGTTGTGTACATTTGAATTACATGAAACTGATACTACCACACGGAAGGAAATGACCATTAAACACGTTTGTGCTTCAACATTCCCCACGAGAGCTCCCGGCGCCAGTGTATCTCCTTATTTGGTATACTCAAGCCAGTGGCGTATCTACCGGTGTGCCATGTGTGCGAAGCACACAGGCCCAGGCCCGAGAGGGGCCCGTGAGCTCCATAGCGAAACTGCAAAACAAAACGTAAAAAAATCGAGATTACACCAAGACAAAAAAAATAGCTACAGAAACTTCAACATAATGAAACAGGAGATCCTTCCAAGACCCAAAATAGGAATTCTAGGCTTCAAAAATTTTTCGCATTTAAAAAATTTCCGGATGGAAAATGCGTCCCTGATGCAATTTTGACGTGTTGCTATGACAAAAGTGACAGAATCTCAGACAGAAGTGTCGTAACAATATGGCGGAAGTGGGATACGCTTTTTTCTCCTTATGTCGCTTCCTTATTATTCTACCTCAATGATTTTTCCTTAATTTTGCCTAAATAAGTCAATTTTCTTTGAATTTTTCCTGGAGTGATTTTTCACTGGAAAATTTCGAAATTTCCCTATAATGAGCTCACTTTTCTCTTTATCCTGGAAAATTTCCAAAATTTTCCCTTTAGCAGTTTTCCAAAAAAAATTTAAATGTGAAAGGATGAATTTTGCTTAGAAAAATCAATTTTCCAGAACTTTCCTATCGACTTTCCTTTTTGAAAATTTCCTATAATGAACTTCTCATTTTCTTCTTTCTTCTGGAAAAATTTCACAAATTTTGCTTTATTAGTTTTCCAGAAATAAATTAAAATGTGAGAGGATGAGTTTTTCTTAATTTTACTTGAAAAAATCATTTTTTCAGAATTTTTCCTGGAGGGATTTTCCATTGGAAAATTTTGAAATTTTCTTATAAATGAGCTCCTGACTTTCCTCTTTTTCCTCTTTTGCCAATTTTCCAGGAAACAATTGAAATGTGAGAAGATGAATTTTCCTTAATTTTACTTGAAATAATTATTTTCCTAACAAGTGCGGGAAGTGATACTTTCCCACACGCGATTGCTGTTGACCCGAACGACGCGAAACGGAGTTCGGGCAAGCAGTCGAGTGCGGGAAAGACACTTTCCGCATGAGTTAGGAACATTATTTTTTCTAGGAGCGTGTTCAAATATAAAAACAAAAACTAAGTAAATTCAAAGCGATATATTATTAAAGAAATTTAATTACAAAATTACTTATTTTTATATTTTTACGTTTACTTTCAAGAATGATTGAAAAAAATTATGTAATAAATCGATCTGATGTTACAATAAACAAAATTTCTAAGGTAAAAAAACTGCCCCGCCTCAAAGGAAAGTGAAAGTGATAAAAAATGCACGCTCGTAGAAAAAAGTCATTTTCCAGAATTTTCCCTAGAGTGATTTCTCACTGAAAAATTTCGAAATTTTCTTATAATGAGCTCACTTTCCTCTTTTACTTGGAAAATTTTCAAAATTTTCCCTCTGCCAGTTTTCCAGAAAAAAATTAAAATGTAAGAAGTGAATTTTCCTTAATTTTGCTTAAATGATCAATTTTCCAGAATTTTTTATGAAGTGATTTTTCATTTGAAAATTTTAAAATTTTTGCAATAATTTCTGTAATTTTCATAGTTTTTCGTAATGTCCATAATTCTCGTAATTTTTCGTTATTCACGTAACTTTTCATAATTTCCATTTTTCGTAAATTTTGTAATTTTCTGTAATATTGAGAAAATTTCCGTAATTTACAAATAATTCCTGTAATTTTGAATAACTTTGAGTTCCTGCATTTTTGGATAATTCCTGTAATTCCCCTATTTTTTTGTAATTTCAGAATATTTTTTGAAAATTTGAATTATGTATACAGTGTGTCCGAAATTCGAGTCTCTACATGGGCCTTTCGCTTATTATGAGAGCTGCAAGGTGGCTCAAATTAGGAAAGTTTTGGGGAATTTATTGCTCATTTATATCCTGTTGTTAAATTTGCTTCAAAGTTTGACAAGTATGACAGTTCTTACGGTATTAGCGTTAGCGGAGCCCGCTATCTAACGGAACTTACCGGATGTCTTACCGTAACGCTATCCTATGTCAAAACTAGTTTACGCTCCATTTATATCTGCAAAAACAGCAACTTCTAATAATTCCTCCATAAAAAACACCAAGGGAAAATTAATCAAGCTCAGGAGTCTTCAGAATAAATAAAAGTTAGAAACCAAGCAAAAAAAGTGGGGTTAGATTACTCAACTCAGCTGTCAAAATGTAAACAGAATAAGGGATTAGAGGATTTACGTGTCTTCGTGCCCGAGAACTATAAAATACCATGTGAAATACCGTATTGTTTGCGGTACCGTATTAGCGTAGCGTCTGATGCACGAGAACTTTCTAATAGGAACTTGATACCTACAAACTGAGAATTCGTTTTGAAGTTAAGCCTCTGTACAGGAGTATATAGAGTGTCCAATAAGATCATGTCGAAAATGATGTACAAGGTGGAGTCAAGATAATGTCAATGTCAGTACTTCATGTAATTTTTTTTCTATCGGGTTTCGGTTCATAGTTATTCTCCTTAAAAAATTGGGTTTTAAAGACAAGAATTTTTGTCTTGTGCAACACTAGTAGGCTGTGACTTTTTTTGAATTCTTCTTATGCAAAAATCTATCGAGAAAATTTATAGATTATTCCTGGCATTTGTTTGGCCTCTCTTGCTACAAAATGGCGGAATTTAAGCCAATCAAGGACTAATAATATTCGTGTCTTTTTTTATTACATGAAGACAGAAAGAGACAAAAAAATTATTACTATCTTCGGGATGTCTTCATCATGTAGTGTTGCCAAATTGTGCACAATTCTTCCAATTTAGGGATTGAGCTATTGTAAAAAAATAGATTTGGACATTTCTTCTTTTTTTTTTCGTTTGTGTAGCGAATGTAGTAGGCCGTGATTTTTTTAAAATCCTTCCCATGCAGACATCTATCAACAAAATGGCGGAATTTCAAATGCCAATCAAAGTTTGATAATATTCTATTATGTAGAGGCCATTATTATGTGGTGTTGCCAAATTGTGCACAATTTAAGAAAAAACTCCAAGGATTGAAGGGAAAAAAATTCAAAAGCCTGCGAAATAGGAAAATATATAAACACATTTTGCCTTACAACTTTGTTAATTTCAATCCGATCTTAACGTAATTAAACTCAGATTAAAGCCAATCAAATCTTTTGCAAGTTTTCATTTTGCCTCTAATTTCAATCCGATTTTTGAATTTATTAGACCAATGTTTAAATTTAAAATAGGTACATACCTAATACATGAATCAACAATTATTATTATGCAATAACAAAAACACCACAAAAATAAAATAATAAATAATGCATTAAAAAAACTATAATTTTGATTAGTCAACACATGCGGTTCTTGCTATAAATAAAATAGTTATTATAGAATATTGTTGCTGCTAAATAGTTCAATAATAATTTATATTGTTAACATAGGTATTAGATTCATTAATTATTAAAAATGTCCCAAGGTGTTGTTATAAAAATGATTATTATAAAAGAAGCATGTAAGTATGTATAAGAATTTTTAATTTAAATTATACAAACTATTGCCTAATAATGATAATTAATTAACAGTGTATAATTAACCTGTCAACCATAAAAAAAAAATTACTTAGTGCGGGGTCATTTGTCTTTAAGAAAAATTAATTAATCATACTATTATTTAAATTTTTTCCCAATAAAAATAAACCACCAAATAATCAATTTGCATTAACAATTTTATCATCAACCGACACGTTTGTGGTTCTTCGAACCGGAATATTTTCGACTTTGGTGCGAAAATTGTTATTTTAGTATCAGATTTGCTATAGTGTTTGTGTCTTTTAAAAAAAAAAATAATTATGGCTGGTTTTAAAGTTGTTATGGTCAAAACAACAGAGACTTGTAAGTATTTAGTTTTTTTTTACAATTTTGTCCAACTTTTACAACGTTTTTGTCCACTTTTCTGAGCAAATTTTATTGAAAATATCAAGCCGGAAGCTGATATTTGGCTCAGAAATTGTTATTTTAGGATTAGATTTGCTATTGTGTTTGTGTTTGTTTTTTTAAAAAATAACTGTTATGGCTAATTTTAAATTTGTTATGGTCAAACCTACTGAGACTTGTAAATATTCATTTCATTGTTAATTATTTTCACTGGCGTAGCTAAACCAAACGTAGACGTCGGCGACATCCGAATTGCGAGGCCCTTTTTATGAAGGGGTGGTCATATTTTTTGTGACAAAAAACTGGATATAAGACAGGGATGGGTAGCTGCCGGCAGGCCCCCCGAACCGAAAGATAACCGCGGAAGGCGAGAATTTTTTGAGTGTCACGCCACCTTTTTCAGGCATATCAACGGGGTATTCGATAGTCATTTTCAGTCAAAAATATTAATAGGTATTTTTCCGCTAAAAATCCTACAGCCAAAAATAAATTTCTCATTTATTACAGTATGACGCAAACATGGACCGACAATTTTTAGTAGGAATCAGCAAATTTTTCAGGAAACCTAATTAATTTCCGAATCCCTGTATGTTAGTATGTTTATGTTTGCATATATGCATGCTGTGCAAAATCAAATGCTGGATAGACTTTCAAAATGCTGTAGAATGTTCAGAGTGTTACCTTATATTTTGACCCCTACCTACAGCTTTAGCTATACAAAGTGTAAAAAAACTTTAAATATGAAAGTTGTAGGGTTTTATGTCTATTATCTTTTTCGAATGTCAAAATGGGCAAATGACAGGTGTCAACTGTCACAATGACAAACACTTGCATTTTTCAAATGGTATATTTTTGTCTAGAATGATAGATCGTTTTCTTCTGATTCCAAACATACCATATACTTATGTTGATATTTGGTTCAGCTGTTTTTACGCCGATCAAAGAGTCAGGAATATTCAAAAACTTTAGTTTTATCAAATTGGCTTTGGAATCAGAGACGGAGCCATGGGTGGGCCTGGGGGGGGGGGGTGGCGCCCCTCCAAAGTTCCTAAAATATATCGAAAGTTGGGAAAACTAGGATAAAAAAGTTGGAGTTGGGAAAAATGGTAGACAAAAATTTGCGCACCTTATTTGCGGGGACTAATTAAAATTAACATTAGGATCGTGTCACGTGTCGTAATGAATTGCAAAATCACCGGACAACAGAATGACGAAATCCCAATGGTCGCAGCGAATTTCTTGCGTTGCACTTTGCACTGCACTAACGCCACTAGCCTGCGGCAGTGGCACGTGACACTTGTGGCAGTAGTAGCACTAGCGCCACTAGCGCTATATAGTATATTAGATAATCCAAATTTCTTATATTATGTCGCCTTCTGCGTTCTGCGCATTCTTCGCTCGCTATTCAGATTTCAGCCTAACTCTGAATCCTGGTGCTCTTGAGTTAAAGAAATAGTTTTTAAAAAGTTTCACTTCCTAACACGTGTACGATGCTACACATGATTTTTTTGAAGTGAAACTTCTTAGGCGGCGGTCTGATTTGGACGAGAATGGAATTACACGTTTTGGCAAATTTCGGCACACGAGAGACGAGAGAGAAGAAAGATATAACGCAGAAAGTCAGCGAATGATAATGACACAGCCGACGAACATTTGACACAAACCAAGTGAGAGAGCGTGAGTCACAGCGAGTTTTTGTGAACCTAAATAAAAATTGGCGAAATTCCTGTACCAATAGATGGCGCTAAATTACGCGAAAAATAGCAATATGTCTGCCGAACTCAGTGAACAACAAAGCCAGTTTTTTGAGGTTAGTTTTTGTTAGATTGTGTTTTATGGCGTTTTTGTGATTTATATAACAGAAACAATACATAAGAAGAATAATATTCTGTAGAAAATTGAAAACTTCCAGAAACAATGCCGGGGGCCAAATGCAAACTTGCTTTGTTGTTCACTGAGTTTTGAGTACCAAAGTTGATCATAGATATCGCCTACTTCGGGACCTTTCGCGAATAGGTAATGCGTGTATTACTTCGCAGCGTGACGTGACGCAGTTTTGGTCCTGCGGAACGCAGTGTATTTGCCGCAGTTTTTCTCGTAGAGTCACGGTGCGTGTTTTGAATGTTTCGAAAATTAATTGAGGCTGTGCGGATTCGACAAGTTTCGCGAACAAAACTAAAAACTGAAAAGCAGCAGCTGCCATTTTATCTGCACTGTGGGTCTGCCTGCGAAGTGAAAACTGTCATTGTATTTGCGCGGTTACTCTTGTCAAGCGCCGATACCCTTGTGACGTCAATACAGATGCGCGTTTATCTTTTATGTCGCAATCTACAATCTACAATCTTTTGTGTAGCCTTTCGTCTCTATACCCCGACTCATCCGCTACATGTGATTTTTTTTTATGTTTTAATAAAGTTGGGAAAATTAGGAATGTGACCCCCCCCCCCAAACCAGAGGCCTTCGCTACGTCCCTGTTTGGAATGTTGGTTTTCTTAAGATTTTTAGTTTTTTCAGAAAACGGTGGTTTTTGCAAACATATACTACTTTATCAATGTCTTTGTCTTACTCACTATAATCAATAAGTAATCCTTTAAATGTAATTTTCATTGAAATTAAACTAAAAACAAGTTGCCTATAATTTATTTGGGGAATTTTAATTATTATAATCATTATTAATGAATTATTAAACTGAATTTTAAACAAAAAACCCTTTTAGAATGTTATTTTTGCTTTCCGAAGTGAGATGTGGCAACGTTGCTTTTAGTTGACCATTTTGAAGTGACGCCTTGTAATTTTTTGCCAGTTTTTCCTCGAATTTTTCACTTTTCTGGGGCTTTTCAATAAAAAAAGGCAATTTAACATAAGAGGCTTTGAGTTTTCTTCATTTTCTAGCAAAAATGTCCAGTTTTTAAATTACATAAATAACAAAATCCCATTTAAAATGTTTTTTTTTTGGAAATTTTGATGTGGCAACACCGTTTGTACCAACTTCAAATAGGTTTTGTAATAAATGTCATTTGCCAGTTTTGACAGTCGGCAATTTTTAATTGACGTGTTTACATTTCTATTCAGTTTTTCCTCGAATTTTCCACTTTTCCAAGCCCTTTTCAGTCAAGAAACCCGATTTGAAATACGAGGCTTTGAATTTGAGGCTTTGTATTTCCTACATTTTGTACTAAAAATTCCCAGTTTTCCAATGGGGTAAGTGACAAAAACTCAAATTTCATTAAGTAGGCTTTGGAATGTCATTTTTAGAGGTTTTTCTTTGAATTTGTCCGCTTTTCCAGGGCTTTTCTGGTCGGAAAAACCGATTTAAAGTACGAGGCTTTGAGTTTTCTTCATGTTCTACCAAAAATTTCCAGTGTTTTAACGGGGTAAGTGAGAAAAACTTTAGTTTTATCAAGTAGGTTTTCTATCACTTTTTTTCTCGAAATTCGCAAAATAAAAAAATAAACTTTTTTGACGTTGACAGCTGTCAATTTTCATTGACACAAATTTATAGTTGGCGTCGCGAAACTGCCTTGTACCGAGGTTTAGTTTTCGTAGCTTTTATAGTAGAGCGGGAAGAAAGTCGAACATGTGTCAAATTTGACAGGTGACATTTGTCAATATTGCCAAAGTGTCGTGCGATAAAAGTTTTATCCGAACGAACCCGTTCATTGTTAACTGATTTTTCATACTCCGGCCCTTTGGGCCGTAATCTGTGAAACAAAAAGACGTCATTTTGTATCGATTGTCAAAATAACCCAAGGTTTGAAATTTCAATTTTTTGACGTTTGTTGTATCATGAGCAGCGTTGCCATATGTTTTTATCAAATCTCGATTTATAGGTTATTTTAAACCCAATCATTGACATTTCTGAAAAATATTTCCTTTAAAATTCCCAAATATCCTTTGGAATCTCCAAAAATCTATTAAAATCTCAGAATTCCATAATTTAGTGGAATTTCGGTAGAATAATTAGGTTATTCTGAAAAAGGAATTAGATGTGAAATTTTTGCGGAGTTTCCATAGAATTCACATTAAATTTTAATTCCTCTCGAATTACTTGAAATTTCAGTGAAATTCCGATCGAATTACACAAAATCCTAAATTAATTACATTGGAGGAATTTTAAAAAATTACATGAAATTACATCAAAATTCCCAACATGAAATTTCAGTTTTTACTGAATTTTAGTAATGCCGAGGAATTTCCAGCTAAAAACATGGAATTTCAGTGATATTCCGAAAAATTACCATGTAATAACATGAAATTTCAATATATTTCGATGAATTTTTAAGAAATTACTTGAAACTTCATTAATATTCCCAGAAATTCCTGGCTATTAAAAGAGAATTTCAGTGAAATTCCGAAAAATTCTTATGAAAATGAATTAAATTTTGAAAATTCCTTGAAGTTTCATTGGACTTTCGAGAAATTTTCGGTTATGAACGTGGATATTCTCATAAAATTTTAGTGAATTCCGAAAAATTTTTAAGAAATTACATGAAATTCTAAAAAAAATTTATGAAAATTTTGTGGAATTCCAGGATATTTTAGTGGTAAAATTTTGAGGAATTTTAGTAAAGTTAAAAAAAAATATGGAATTTTGAAATTGAAATCTTAGTGGAATTCCGAGGAATTTCATGAAATCCTATACTGTAATTAGCCTCCTCACTTGAAATAGTCATGAGCCGCCAGTGAATCAGAAAAAAAAAAGCTATCATTTTAGCCAAAAATATTCAGGGTGTTCCATATGAAAAATGCAAGTGATTGTTATTTTGACAGTTGGCACCTGTCATTCGCCCGTTTTGACATTCGCAAAAGATAATAGACATAAAAACCTACGAGCCGGTTTCTCAATAGCGAGTCACCAGTCACCTCTGGGTTGGTTTTAACTCCAGGGTAAGCGTGTCCAGTTGCTATGTTTACCCTGGAGTTATCCTTAACCAGGAGGTGACTTGTTATTGAGAAAA